ATGTGAGGTATTCTGGTGATGAGAATTCCAGGATCGACAAAAAAAGGCAGTTGCAGGTGACCTGATTTTTTACCATTTCTTTTCAGGTTTAGTGTTTCTGCTTTTCATCTCTTTCATTAAACCCTCTTTTATTACTAGGAGGGCAATATGTATGCCTATTTTAAGATTTTTAAAGCGTTATAGGAGTGGAAGATGCTTCTAGAGTCCAGATCTTCCGTTTTCTGTTCCAAGCAAGGATGAACTCTACCTAACGCTTTCCTGATAGTTGTCTGAGTTGCTTTCCGTGGTTGAGACTCCCAGTGGTTGTTGAGGCTTCACATACCTACTGATAGATTACTCCTAGTAGCGGAGTTTCATGTTGGTAATTTACATCTACTGCTGCTGCTTGTTCTCTTCCTCATAAGCACAGGAAGAATTGCCCCCTTTTCTCTTTGCATCAGCCCTTTCTTTATTGGAAGTCTGTTATCGTTAGTTCTTCATAAGATGCTGTCTGCAGTATACCAATCTTAATCAGGTAAATTGAAAACATTAAAGCCTCCTGGGTACCTGTTCTTATGCCAGAATTGACTTCAGAACTGATGGTACGTGGCCTTATTTATGCATGCATTTATTTTAATCCTGCTTAAACTCATACTGCTACAAGTCTTTGTTCACTCTCTTGCCTGTTTGATCCCAGTCCAAATGTTTATGCTTATACTTAACTTGAACTTGTCAACTCCTTAAAGCAAGACTCTGTCATTCTTAATGTCTGCAGAGCTCCAGAGTGACTCTTCATGAATAATCTGCTGTGCTTCTCTCCATTAGAGCTAGACCTGCCTTAGAAAGATACAGGGATGCCCCCAGTTCTTGCCTGTCAAGTTTTGTGCACTGCAACATACCAACACACCTCTGCAGTGAGGATCTGAAGCAGCAGAAATAGAACTGGATTATATTAATCTTATTGTTATGGTTTCTCAAGAAAAGTCGCTAATCACTGTGGTTCAACAGACTGCAGAAAGGGTTGATGCATTTTAAAGCTCTGAATGATCGTGTGGTTGCCTTGTAATTCAGGCTAGAGGTTTAGCTTCTACTTACTTCATCTAGCCCATTTTCTGTAATTTAAGTGAGAATCTACTGAAATTACAGTTTAGCTTTATTCTGCCTTTATGCTCACCCCTTCTGTACTTTTGTGTCATTTTTGTGAATTTAGGCTAACAAAATTGCTTGTAAATTAGTACCCCCTCATTTGCAGATGAGGAGGCAAAGGCATGTGAAATTACTTGGACTTAAGCAGTTGTAGTTCTTGTGTGGCAGATCTGAGACTATAGCAGATTTTTTTATTCCCCTACTCTAAGCTTTAAGTGCTAGGACAGAAACATTTGCAGTCTGAAGAGGACGGAAACTTCACTGAATTAATGCAAGTGGCTTCTGTTGCTTATGTATGGGCAACCATTGTCTTTGCTGATTGGTTTTATCTTGCTTTTCCTCCCAAAGTAACATGTGGATGCAGCTTTTCGTTATGGATTTTAATTATTCAACTTAAGATATTAAATCTCCAAACATATTTGAGTTTCAAACTCATTTGATTTCATGAGGTGCCTAATTACTTTCCACTTTGGGCTTCTACTGTTGCCAAACTGTTTTCACGATGTGATGTGAATTGCTTATATAAGTGACCGTATTCCCCTATTTTTTAATTCACTGAATAACTGCAGCTGAAAGGTGCTCTGAGAGCGGGATGCCTTAGACATACAACCCTGATCCCCCAGGAACCAAGAGAACCAGGATTTCACTCTCTTAAGTTTAGTGTGCTAACTTAATGATTGAATCAGTATTGTGTGTCTCAAGTGAAGAGAGCAGGCAGAAAAAAACCACGGTGGTAGTCAGAGTGCTTTATGTGCTTCAAATTGTTTTCCATACATTTAGCTAATTACATAAGCAGATGATATTTACAGGGGACTTCTGGCTATAATTGACCTTCATCTTTTCCTGTGCACTTCCCAGCCTCTCCTTGAATTTTCCTATTGTTTCCTCTTAATCATTCCACATTTAACACCGTACTTCAAGCAGTCCTTTTCTTTTGCTTGGGATCATCCTACCAATTCCCTAGAGACCAGTATTCACGACTCTTTGTAACCTCAGCTTCTCAGACCAATTTTGTTGTTCATTTTGGAATTTATGGTGTGGACAAACATGTCTCCTCCAAAGTGCACTCTTCAAGCCTTCCATCAGCTACAGCACAATTGCTTTTTTCCTTTTATGTGATCATCAGCTCTTTGGAGCAGGAGTGTTTCTATCTTTTATCTTGTGTAAAAAATTGCTTTTCAGGAGTTGCAGCAACACAGTACACATCTGAGTATGCAGATCTTATATTTCTTTGAAACTTCTATATGTGTGTGTTGGGACAAGCAGGGGAGGAATTGCATAAACTGTGAGTCTCCTGTGCAGAAGTTAGAAAACCTATGTTTAAACTTCAGTGGTGTTCCCATGGCTACTAGGACAGGTACATCATGGGAGGGGGAACACTTCTGGCATTTAACAGCCCTTCCAGGTGATTTATGGTTTCACATAAGCTTTTCCTAAACTGAGAGGTTTTCTAGGGTTGGCACCTCTTTGCTTGTCTCCATGCCCTGTTAGTTCTGTGTTCAGTGAGCCGTGGTTATTAAAATTCTTATCAATAAAGAGTTCCTGAGCAAGGTTCTTATTTTCTGGGATCATGCATACCTTCTGAACTCCTCAGCCTAACCAAAGGAATTTTTTTTTAATGCCTAATATATTTTATAAAATAAATGTGTAGAGCTCAAGTAATATTTGCTTTCAGTTACAGTAATTAAGTTGTCAGGACTTGAAGTCACCAAGGGAATGAGAAAATCTTTTCCTGGTTGGCCAGGGGGTAATTGGTGTTCTGGTCACAAGTACATTTTACATATTGGGGTGGGGAGGGAAACTGCTCTGGCAGGCATCTGTGGCAGAAAACCCCGGAGACTGTTTGTCATTTTGCAATACAAGGTGTCAGAGTCTTGCTGTGGGTAAGAGAAAAGTGACCTTTTTAACTCTGCTTTAGCAGGGCATCTATTTTTGATCCACACCAATGCTGCTTGTTGAGTTGGGAGGTATATCTTATTAAAAAGAGAGTGACAACAAACATAGCTCAATCCATTTCTGCTGTGGATTCTGTCTTATCAAAGTTCTATTGCAGCTCCCCTTTCAAACTGTGTCTACAGATGTATGTAGATACATGCTTTTTTCCCCCATGCTCAACATCTCTTTGCAGACTTCTTTGCCAGAAGCCGAACAGTTTCAGTTACTTCATAAACTTGCCTGGAGGTACACTACAAGGTATTCCTACAAGAAAAGTACCTGACTTTTTTAAGTGCCCACACAAACATTACTGGAATCTCAAGTGTAGTGTTACTTTCGTTCCACTGGAATAGCTCTCTTGAAAGCAGATATATTAGGAAATCGCTACTCATAATGCATCACTAAGGACACAAATTTTTGCATTTCCTACTCATGTGAGTAAAGGAGTCAGATGTGCAAAACCTTACTCACAAACCCTAATAAACCCCACTTCAGCTAGCAGGTTTAATGATGCCCTGAAGAGAGACAGATCACTTATCTACACCATCATGCAATAACCATAAAGTTTTGAGATAAGTGATATTGTATCTCCCAGTTCTCTGCTGGCCTTCACCCTGTGTATCAGTTTATGCCAGTGAAAGTGGGCATGAAATATTGCTGCTTGGATTTGGTTGCATTTTATAGTCACTTCAGTTCACATACAAGATGTATGGGTAGAGTGGATGCTCTGACCTATCTGTGCATTTATGAATGGTAAAACAGTGAAATATCTCTGTCAGCCTTGCCACACTTGACTATAATAGCTGTGGATTACCTACCATTCAAGAAGTGTGATGTAGACCAGATGTTGGTAAGGATTCTACACAATTCCCACCTGCTCAGCTTTTCCCATCAGGCAGGGTGTGCTTGATTACCTGCAGTTCATATGAGGGTTAAAAAAACACAACAATGTAAAATTTGGGACATTTCCAGGAGTCATTTGTGACTTTTGCCAAGCAAAAGGATGTGCCACAGAGGGTTATTTTTGAGTGCTTCAGTATCCATGTAAACAAGTCTGAATTTCAGCTGCCTTTTTGGCTTGTTTATTTTGTAAGTCACAGATAATTTAACAAGTTATGTATTTTCACCTTGTTGCATTTGCAGCTTTTTCAGAGTCAGTTCTCTTCATGCTGTACATGACATTCAGCTCCATAGCTGTACTTTGCTCATTGTTTTATATTTACTTTCTAAGTACTAGACTCTTTTTATAGATGCTCACCTGCAGCTAGAGTTCAGCAGCTATTTATTTTGTGTATGCAGAAGCCTTGTAAGATCTAACCTGTGATGTTGTTTTTGCCATCTGATAATGTATGATCAAATGGAGCATGTTTAAATAACAACATGTAGGACACAATGACAGTAAACCAGCTGTGAAACAAACATTTCTGAAGATCAGATAAGATGGAAGAGATGCATCAGTGCTGGATTGCTCCGTATATCATAAGTTCTTGCACTTGGCTTTAGAGGTACTCCAGGCATGGGATTTCCTTTACGCCATAGGCTAATAAATCGTACTGTGTTATTTTTCATGTTGGTTTATGTCTTGTAGAGACATGTGCCTTTGCAAAGTGAGTGTGATACGCTTGAGTATGATAGTATTATACATAATCTGCATGAGCTGCACAGGAGTAGGTAAACAGCAAGAAATTTAAACCAACAGAGAATTGAATTCTGTATTCTCTTGCCGCCATCCATACTGCCACCTCTTCTCCCTAAACCTACACCAACATTTGCATTAAGGGCTGCCTCTCATTTCTGCCCAAGTCTATATTTTTGCAATTAATTTTCAAAGCACCATACTGTTTGTTAATATTTTTCTTATTAGTGTGCAAAAACCCCACCATTATGTTTAAAGCCGTTATTTCTGACTCTCGCTCCTGCTTCTCTTTGTTCCCCTGCAGGAGGATATTGCCAGTCCTGAGTCTCAGGAAGAGAAGCAGGGAAACTGCTGTCTATCTGAGCCTGCAGATGGTTACAATACAGTGAAGAGCGTTCTCACTGTACACGAATATTTCGCCAAGCGCATGGCAAAACTGAAGGGATCCCAGAATGACACAGAAAAAAAGGTAGACAATTCCAGCCCAACAGCTGATAAAGCTTTGGAGCCTTCAGGAGAACTGAAAACCAAAGTCAAAAAGAAAAAGAAGAAGCAGACGAGAGATGAGGCCGAGAGTACAGAGCATTGTGAGAAACCAAAAGTGAAACAGTCAAAGATAAGTAGCTTGAATGACAAGGAACTGGATGCTCCGTTAAATGAATGTCACTCAAGGAAAAAGAAAAGGAAACATAAAGAGCAGCATGAAGGGGAAAGCATTAGTTGCGATGAAAATCTGGCCAATGGGGAAATTTATACAGGAATAGCTGATGGTGAAGATCTAAGTGTAAAGGACTGTGAAGCACAGCAAAAGAAACGCCACAAAAAGAAACACAAAAGGCAAAAAGAAGAGACAGATGAGTGTATCGAAGCAGCACAGAGAAAGAAAAAGAAGCACTGCAAGCACATTTAAGAGTCAAGCTGTGACTGAGGTGATTTGAACCTTTGCAAGTTAGAGAAGTCTGTGTAAACACACCAGCCAGACACCACTTGTGATCCAGACTTGAGCACGCTGCTCTACATCTAACAGAAACCACAGACTGTTTAAATATAGTTCTTTCAAGGGAGAATATGATAACAGATCAATGTGAGCTTCAGTGCCTTATTAAAAAAGGTATCCACGTGTAAGGCCAAGGCTTGCGTGACTGCAAAGCAGGACTTGATAAAGAATAGTTTGACTTTGCCTCTTGCAGTATGGCAGACGGTTCACCTTAGTGGCTTTGCATATTTGTTGTAACACAGCAGACCCTGTGCTGCCTTCAGCCCACATTCGCCCTGGTGCAACTCTATCCAAGTCAGGTAACAGCAAGCAAAATCAGACCTGTTTTTAACCACTGTGGTTAAGACTGGGAAAGGCAGTGAATTACTACCTGCTGCTTCACACTGTGTTTTTCTCAATCCAGGAAAAAAAGGACAATTCTCCCTACTGCTGTCTTTATTATTAAAGCAACTGTTTTCACTTGTGGCAGCCCAGCTCTGCTTCTGGAAACAGGAGAGGTTTTGCAAAGCTACATGTATTTTTTTCACTGATTTTTGCAAAGTCATGTCTAATTTTTTCATTGATCTCCATTTACATAGAAAATAAATGTTGTTTCTTGCCAAAATACTTGTTCTAATTAAAGTTTTACACCTGAGTGTCAGTACTAAAGAATGAAATAAAAATACCTCCGTTTGTTTCCTAGCCAGTTTACTATTCTCAAGCAATTGTAACTTTGCAACAAAGCTAAAGAAGCTATGCCTTTATTAGCCATATCTAAACCTTTGGTCCTCAGGGAACATTCAGGGTACCTTCAGTGATGCATCTGACATTCAAAAATTGTCTTGGATAGAGCAAGAGCTTGTTTTCTGAAATTAGGGACCAAGTGGATTTTAAAAGTATAGGTGGTCGATGCATTAGTATTGCCACTTACTGACAACTTGCAACTTAGGTTTATAATCAAATTATAGCTTGTTTCTAATTGCAAACCTGGAACTAAACAATGCTGGAACTCAGCACTACCATAACCAGTTTTGTATGAGATATTTAACATTCAGCATGAATTTTGACATATTAATACCACTCAGCTAAGAGCTGTCAGAAGAGATCAGCGAGCATGGAAGTAAAGCATTGGAATGGGAAGAAGCATTCACCGTCCTGGCGTCTGATTCTGATACTGGTTTAGCCACAGCAAAGGGACAGCACAGTCCTGAAAGCCAGCCGGTTCTCATGCCATAATCTGGAGTGGCTGACCAGAATTCACATCATTAGCTGTTCATTTGACTCCAGGCCTGGCTGTGTTTCATCAGTGTAAATCTAAAACATCCCACTGGCCTGCACTGCTGAATAAAATGGGTACATTTTTTTATTGTCTTGGCTCTGTTGATTTACTTAACATGGTTTAAAACATTGTCAAGATGCAGATGTTAATATGAAAAATTTCCTTAAGCTGCCTTTATTGTCCAGTGAAACTAAAGTGTGCACTACACAGTCCACATGGCTTCAGATGTTTTAGCTGCAGCTGAACTCTTCCTTTCTGAGATATCTTGGGTTGCAATGCACCTCTCTTGCCCTCGGGACATGCTCATTCATTACAGCAAAATTACTGTAGTTTTACTTCTAAGGCAGAACAAGATGCCTTTCTCTGTGTTTAGAGTAGCATTTGCTTTTCAGTGCTGTGCAAGTATTAGCCATTTTGATGCTGCTACAACTGGGCTTATTCCCCGACTTCCCTAAATGAAATACCACTTAATACCGTGAGGTTGCTATAGAGTTGTGAGTAAGCTTCATGCCCGAGGTGAAAAAAAATAGTCTTCTCAGCAAAAGAATACAGCAGAATAATTTTTCATGTCGCATTGAAGCATCCAAAGTTTTGTGGGTCCCCTGCAAAGCAGTGCTTCTCATCTCTTGCTCACCACAAATTTGGATTTTTGTTGGTCAGCAAAAGCCAAAAACCCTGTTTGTTTCCAATATTTTTTTTAACTCTTACTCAGTTACACTTCACAGTCTTTCAGGGATTTCAATTTAAAAAGGTGCTAGTCGAGGAGTATGGTTTTCTTCTCCAAGTACTGCTGGGCTTATTTGTTTGTTCTCTACATTAATCTTCCATAGGTTTCTATGTGCTAATTCTTAGGAGTGTTTGGCCAGATTCCAGTATTAGCTATAGGAAGAATAAACCCAGGAATACATTTTTAAATACATGGTGTTACTGCAGTTAAGTACCAAATACCTAAGATTTAAATCTGGCTCAGGTTGAAATGCTGGCTACAAATAGAAGATTCTCTATTTGTACAAGTAGTGGGAATTTCTGTCTATACCAGAAAATGTGGGATTTTAATGTGCTTCAAGTTCAAAAAGAAATAGCATGTGCAGAATATGAGTGGGGGGGGAAAGGGGGAAATCATAACAGACTAGCATTTGAAACAAGCAGTTCATTTATCTGCTTTGCTCTGCTCTGTGCGTGTTAAGGGTCAGCCAACTTTGCATTACTCGACAAAAAGCTCTTCTGACCAGATACTGCCTAGTGAAATGGATGATTGAAACAACAGGAACATGCTTCAAAGTAATAAATTACAGAATTTTTTTGTTTATAGTGGGTTGTGAGTCCAGTTTTAACCAAACTCTGGTTTGGCAAGAAGGTCTTTTTTTAGAAAGCATAAGGAAAAGAATTACATCATTACCCAAATGGTGAAATTAGCAGAATGTAAGCACAAAGAAGTTATTTGGTTTCATTTATGTGAAAATAACGGTTTTAAACAGTGAAGTCTTTTGTTAGATACTTGTCCGTTGACTCACACATCGCAGCACAAAATCACATACCTCCAAGTGAAATTACTTAGAAACTAACGAAAATGAGAGTCCTCCGCTCTGCTTTCACTTCCAAATCGAGGCTGAGGCACACACAGCACAGATACTAAAATGTTTGCAGTTTCAGCAATCGCTGATCACCATTGACACAGAAGAAAATACCCCTTCTTGCACTCAGAGCCTTACACAGATGATGGTTCCTTGTGAGTTACGTCCATTCTTCATAGGTATAGTGTAGTTCCTTGCTTCGAGCCTTGAATTTAACTGTCAGTGCAAAGTCTGCTACATGCCAACCTGCGTGATTTGCAATCACAGTTTTAGGAACAACAATATATATGCTGACTTTTGTCTTTGTAAATACGTCCAAGCACGAAACCGTATCCTGGAAAATGTTGCCCAAGTTGTCTTGTTACCAGCATCAGACTGGAGTCTGCATGAGCTTTATGAGCTTCAACTGTTCTGGTGTTGCTGTGTCCGACTTCAGAGCCTTAGAGCCAGCGATGCAAGACTGTGCTGGTGCACGCTGAGTGACAACCCAGATGTGTAGAACACGTGCCATTCCTTGGATTTCTTTCCAAGACCTACTAGCTCAGTGGCTTTACGCACAACCAGAACCGCTTATCCTAGTGTCCATGGGCATTTCAGTCCATTAGACAACATTGAGAGGCAGCTGCTTTGTGAAACTTAAGAAGCATGTTTGGGGACAGTTCATCGTGTTCAAATAATGTGATTTTCCTTTAAGCAAAGGGCAGTTCTAGTGCTGAGTTCTTTCACATAATCAGCTCTCGGCAGAGAAAATTAGCTGAATGCACCAATGTAATTAACCAATTTTCTCCTGTTTAAACACACAAGACTCAAGTTCGTGAAGCATCCACCTTCAAAAGGCACAATTTACGTCATGAAACCTCCAAACCTGCCAGCACTAAGGGGAGGAAGGAAGCTCCCAGAAGAGAGGAAAACCACACAAAGTCTATGGGAAACACTGCACAGCATCACGCCTATCTTAAAAAAGGATCTTATAATAGTGTGTCCTCGAACAGCCATGAGGATTGCGAGCATCCAAAGCAGTGCTTCGCTTAATTCCTTCTCGTTCCTGGGCAGTGTGAGGTGAGGTTTCCAGTGGGAAGGGTTACAAATCTGATCCGCACAGATTTTGTGGCTGAGGAACCCCCAGGAAGGATCAGAGCTTGGAGTACTTGGACAATAACCAAGGCTGTCATCTCTGTACCTGCCCCGTGTAAGATAAGCAAACTTTTGCTTGTCTTGTATAAGCAAACTTTTAGTGATGTGGGACTGGTCAGTATGGTAAAAATATAAACTTTGGTGGTGGCAGAAGTGGGAAGATTGTTCCAAAGCCAAATTGAAGCTTGATTTCTCAGCAAGTCAGAACTTAAATTCTGAGTCACTCAGAAGGTATTTTTCTTTCCTTAATCCATTTTTATAAATTTTAAAGTTTAAGAGGCAAAACTCTGCTAGTCCCTTTTAACCTGAAAGGACTAATATCTATATGTATTTTGTAACTTAAAGCTACATTTTAAAAATGGAGCAGAATTATTCAGCACCGTGGTTGTGTGCATGCTGAAAATGTTAAAATTGGTGGGGTTTGTCTGCATTTTTGGCTGTGTAAGGTGAAAGCTCTGGTTTCTCCTCCTAGCAAATGAATGGTCCCGGTAGCAGTACCTGAGCTAAGCCTGGTGGAGCCAGGGAGGCCGGGCAGTGGGCAGGGTTGGTTCTTCTGTCTCAGTGGTAAAGCAGCTGGGAGCCGAGAGATGGCTCTTCTGCTGGGACCCCCCAGCTGCCTCTGCAGATACTACCCTTGCGAGACAAGAGCTTCATCAATAATTAAGGAACATGTGAATATTGAGCTAATTTAGGATTTGCACTTTCTCACACATTTTAATGTCTCCA